TAGGTCTGATTGCGATGCAGCTTATGTTAAAGGTATTACGATTAACTAGTGATTGTGTGACCATTTTTATTATGAATATTTTGATTTATGTTCTTCTGCCTTCAATGTGACACTATATGTTGTCTTGCATGTCATGATAAAGATGTTGTGAGTGAATAGTATTTGACTCATGATTGATTTTGTTACTTTTCTCTCTTTTATTTTTTTAAAACATCGTCAGATTTTCTAGCGTTGTATGCTTTCATTTTTTGAGTAAATTTCTCTTCAAAATCATATGAATGACCTGGAGAAGAGAGAAATAAAAAATATAATAACATAGGACAATGAAAATAAACTATAAAAAGCACATGGAGAACTTTTGTGAAGAAAACTTCGCGTGATAGCCCAAGAGCAGACGCCCGAGACAAGATTAGATCAAAAATACCTTGAAAGCATATCCACGAAGAAGACCTAGGGAAGCAGCCCACAACGAGAGATTTAAGTTTGTGTGCTTGTTTTGGGGTCAAGAACAACTCATGAAGGGGTGTATTCTTTTGGTTAAGGGGGTGCTCAAGAACATTCTCAAATAAAGGAATCCTATTTACACTTGTATAATGACTAGTAAAAGGGTGTCACAAAGGACTATTATTTCACAGGCGTGTTCCGATGCCTTCAAAGTTCACGCCGATCCACACTAGCAGAAACTAAGTCTTTCACGATCTCATATGGATGGCGTCTTATCGACGATCAGGGCCTACAAAATAATCTGGTCATCGCATAGGGTCCGCGATATGCTTCCAAGGCCAAACCGGGCCATAAGGGCAGAGGGTGAATCACAGTATCCAAAATGGGTGGCGGTTTATCCGCAATCTGGGCCTACATGACGACATCAACACACAATCGAAAAGAAGCGACGAGGCTTAAAGGGGGGTTTTTAAAGGAAGGGAGGGGTAATCCTCATTGGGTAGAGATAATTGGTTAGGATATCACAAATCCCCCCAGTCTACTTGTTCATGAAGGTTCAACCCAATACAACAAGAGGCCCCCTTGTCAACAATCCATGAATTACACCATCCAATGGGATTTCAGGAACCCTAAGTTCAAGAGAATGAAACTCTAATTCCATAACTTTATGTAGGCTAGAAGAGAAAAGGTGGGACTTATTCCTGCTAAAGTGGTAAGGATGTCACCAGAGTGAAAAGAAACAAGAGGTATGGCTATGGAATCAAAACACTCTCACAAAAAACTTACTCCCCGTTTGGGCTAGGAAAGCCTCTGACACCCTAGGTGGACTAGACTACCACATAAGTAGAAATCTATGTTGGGCCAAACGGGTTAAATAAGCATGGGGACTTCTCCTTGGTACATGCAAATGTTGCATTTATCTATCCCTAAGCGTGGAGGCCCTATTCATATGACTGGATGTATAACTATGCATGCAACCCATTTAAAATCTGACTTGAAAGCCATGCAAAAAATAAAAGTACAGATTTTCAAAAGTTTGACTATTTTAAGCCTAAATTTTAATTAATCTCAAGATTTTTTTATTAAACTTTTGTAAAAAATATAGAATAATTTTGATTTTAAAGAGCCTAAGTGATTTGCATGATTCTTAAATAATCTGCAGAGTAAAAAAGAGCGAAACCAAGTTCAAGCACACAAGCATACAAGAAAGCATGAAAATAGGCCAAATAAAAAAAATAAGAAAAGTCTGGGATCGCTAGGTTGACAACATATCCCAGAGAAGAAAAAGACTGTCAGACACCGCATGAGTACATACTTGGTCCTTATTTTATACATAAACAAGATTTAGAATTACGGTATGGACCATAAGCAAGCAGCTCTTGGTCCCCGTCACATATTTTTGTCGGCCAGTTGCTTTGAAACTCATGCTAGTATCGTATTTCTAATACAAGACTTTTCTGAGGACTCTAAAAAGTATATAGGAAAAAATAATAAAAGTACTCTACTTGCATGCAAATAATGTTAGCAGTAAAGCCAACCACATGCAATGCATATGAACCATGCCTTGTGGGAGGAGTTGAGCAGCGCATGTAGAAAAGAATTAGTATTTAAGGCATTACATTGCTCCTCCCTTTTACACGTGTGGTGTATTTTAGGCATGGATCCTGTAGACAGATTTAATATACTTCCATGTATATCGAAATCAGTAAACATGAACGTACACAAAAAACACAAAAGGTGATGCCTAACTAGGGCAACCAAACTGACAAAGAACTATAACCATGACATCAAAAAAGACTACCTAACATCCTATTCCTTAGCCGAGAAAAACATCCAACATAGTGTCCTAGCATAATATCCAAGTGAGTGTAGAGTTATGTCAGAAGGTTAGCGTATGCTTTGACGGGGTCGTCATCACTGACCCCGTTTTAAGGATCCAAGGATTCTAAGTGATGCCACTAGATACAAGTTTTAAAAATATTTTGAAAATTAACCACATGTACAGTCTAAGCTAAATATGCAAGTAGTTTTCAATATATATTTTAGAAATATAATGCATATAAGTAATAAAATATAATTTTTTATTCTTTTTTAAAATAGTTCCTAAGAAATAGAAAGCATAAGTGGAATCCATTAGACCTTTGAAAATTTAGCACAATATACGCAAGCCGGCCCACAGTAAAGCCAACCAACCCAATTATCCCTCCCTTTTTGCCTAAAATGGCAAGGGTCTAATGTTTTCAAAGGCTTCCAAGTATCCAAAAATGGCCACATCAACAACTTTATCACCCCCATGCATATCTTCTCCAAACCCTAGGAAATATGCACTTTTCAGTTGCCAAGGAGGTGTGCCAGGTGAGAATATCAAGAAAAAAGTGGAGCAGAAAAATGGCCTTGCACCTAAGCGCAACAACCCTGGCGCCTAGGTGCCTCCAGGCTGGCGCCTACTTGTTGAGCTCTCGGGTTTTAATCTCCTTTGGGGTGTTTTAGGCGTTTAGGCACCTGGGGAGGGCGCCTAGGCATTGATCTTGCCTTGAAAACCCTTTTTTCACCTGAGACGTCAGACTGAGGATTTTCTTGATCTAAAAGCCGCGTGGGATCAAATATGACTCAAATATAGTCTTATAACCCAAAAAATGTGTATTTCTTTTTCGTTTATCAAGGGATTCATTGCCAACAGTCGGCCCAAAACCATAGGGCAGGTACGACATTCTAAACCCTACTCTTTCCGGAAACACCTATGGGAAGCTTCGATAGATTCCTCTAACGATGGGAGGCTTCATATGGATATGACATGATCTTTAAACACCAGAATGGGCGCAGAACACGTCTCATGTCCCGGGTAAACCCGTACAACTGCGAATTCTCTCATCTAAGATCAAATTATCGCAGACCCAAGTTTTGTGCTCTGAATACGTACCAAAAGGTCTCAAATGGGTGTCTTGAGCTGCAAGATACTATGAGTGAGCAGTGAATCATCCCGAGCCAGTCAAGTGGGCACCTACACACTTGACATCAAAAGTTGACGTCATTCACTATCATTGGACTTATTCTGAATATTTACCCGTTTTAAAAATTATTTATTTTTCTCTTTTATTTTAAAGATTAACTTGTAGAAAAATACATTTTCTAAATTATAACATTCTCTAATTCTATAATTCAATTTTGATTTTACTTTTGTATTTTTGCTTGTTTGAATAATACAGTTAAATATGAGAATTACATACATCGATAAATCTCATGAATTCTATATAACATTAGCATAAGGATATTTTAGACATTTGTCCACAAAAAACACATTAAAAACTATATTTTTTAAACAAATCTACTGCTTCTGAAATACCAACTTCTAAACATCAGATTTTCTACAACAGATTTGAATTGAGATTTCATATTTCCACAAGTGAAACAAACTTACACTAAATAGAAAAGATGAGACTACTTGCTCACGAGCTCACTTTAATGACCAGAAATGAGAAGAGAGTTTGAAGCAAGAGTGACATAAACTACAAACCTAATGGAGAATGTTAGGAAGAGTGGTCATACGGCAGAGGAGAATAACTAAGATCAAGTGGTGCGTGCATTCACACAAGCGAAAAAGAGTTTGCTGGTTAATTCTAAATGAACAAAAAACATATATAATGAATATTTGTTTTTGTGTGTAAAAGTGGAGAATAAGACGAAAAATAATGTGGTGTTAGTTTAGAGGTGTTAAATATAATTTAGAAGCTTCTTATGAGCACAATAATTTGGATGTGAAAAATATCAAAAGCATGGATTGAACAACAATGAATTAGTTGGAAGTAAAATGAGAAACCCTAAAAGGTTGGGGTGGAGTGTTTACTCTCTCAGAAAAAAAATAAATCATTAGAAGTAAGATGAAAAAGCCAAAAAGGTTGAATTCGAGTGTTTCTTCTGCTAGAAAAATAAAATATACAAAACATATAAGAGAGAGATGATTAAGTGAGATTTGGTAAGGTGAAAAGAAACAAGTTTCCTTCAAATATCAGAATCTGTTTAACTTTAATCTCATAATCCGTTTAAATTTAATGTTTCTTCTTTTATGGGGATATTTTATTTACAAAAAAATAAATACAAGCTATCATACATATAACTGTCTTTCTGACGACATCATCATTTCACTTTTGCATTTGTAATGCATATGCTTGTACTTGGCTCTTTTAACTTAACCACTCCTGCTTGATTGTATGTCGAGTTGATGATGCTTGACCATTTCTATTGTGCTTTCTTACTTTGGGCTGGATCCTTTTAACAATCCCAAACAATCCTAAATTTGAAAGAAGACATATTTAGATTCACAGGATTGGTTTCTTCCAACAGATTGGGTTTGAGAGCACCTTACATGTAATTTCATCGAAGGATGTGTAATGCCGAATGAGAGTAAAAATCCCATTTAGGCACCAAATTTTAGCTGTCGATTCTCACCTTGAGAAAAACAACGAGGGAAGCAGATCAAACACATGTCAGGCAAACAGTAGAACGTTTACGCTGCATTCCTGTTCGAAACCACAAACCTGATCACCGCACCTATGCAGGAAGGGTGGCGTTGTAATTTCGTTGCAGTCACACTGTAAGAACACTCGATTCCCCATTCTCCAACCCCGTTTTGGTTCTCTGCTGCCAAAGGCACCCGTCCGTCGGCCGTACGTGGCACTGTGATTTCTACGCCGCTTTCTTTGCGTCGGAGCCGCTCTCGATCTTTGAAACTTAGGGCTTCTCCAGTTTCTGTTCCGCCATTAGGGCTGGCTCCGCCTTGAGAGCCGCTGCTGTGAAGGAAACAAGAAGTCCGCGTTCCCTTCTCCTGGGAGGTTTGATGTTCGACCTAGCCCACTTTCTCGCCTATTCGACTCCCATTTCATATTCCATTTTCTTGCACTGAATCTATTTTCCCTTTGCGTGCGTTGTTTTTAGTATATCACAGTATTCCGGTTCGGAATTCTGTTGCGTCGCTGTCTTTCTTTGATCCGTGGCAGTCTGTGGAGCTTGTAACTAGGATGCCATGCATTTGGTTGTAAAAAATAGACGAGCTTAGTCAGTTTTTTTTTTCTTGAATTTAGTTATTCTTGGTTTCTGATGTTGTCTTTTTGGCTGATTTTTTACCCCTGTTCTTTCTTCTCTTGACTTACCGCATTGGCCCTTTGCATTACTATGTATAGTATAGCGGTATTTTTATTCCCTTTTGCTGAGGGACCAGCTATTCTTCGTGCCTCGGAATGTTAAATTTTCATCAGGAGTTGAGAACATATTATTTTAGAAAGTGCTATTCCCGTCTCTGTGTTATTCTACACGCAGCACAATATTTTTAGTATTATTTTTTATTCGAACATGTAATGCTGCATTTTCTTTGTAAATTTTCAGCTTTCTTTGTTAAAACCATTTATTAGTATTCATCTCTTAAGTTCAAGCTACAGGCGGTGGAAAGTGAGAAGATTCTTGTCTTTATAATGCCTTTGTTTTGATTTGCGTGGGAAGTTAAGATTACTTCATCTGGTATGGATTCTTGAGAGAATTATTAAGATTTGGTGGACAAGGCAATGTTAGAAAAAGTCACAGGAGTGCGCAAGCGTCATGACTAATTTAGTTGACAATTGAGCAGCACAAACTCAAATTTATTTGAAGCATCAATTGATAGATTGTATTGTTTCAATAATTTTTTAATTGTGGAGGTGAAATGTAGATAAAGTTTGTTACTTGTAAGTACTCAAAAGGAGTATTTTTTGAATGCATTGCTTATAAATTGCAGTACCCATCTGCGGCAAATTCCTAGTGCCGAAATATGGAAGAGGATATCAACTCTTTTGTCTCAAGTGGCGTGGTTTCTAGCATAAGTTTTAGCCTAGCTTCATTTGATGAAGTAGTAAGTGATGTTGTTTTCTTACTTTATATGAAATGAATTTTCAATCGCTCTTACTTTATTTCTCCGTCAATATAGTGGTGGGTAAATTTTTTCTTCTCTTTTGGTAGAGCAAATATTCTATTAATAATTGCCCAATATCACATCCAAGCCAGTTGGGAAACCCTTTTCTTGGTTTGCCACTTGAATCAGGGAGGTGTGAATCATGTGGGACTGTTGAGACTGAAAAATGTGAAGGTGAATATATTGGATTTCTTTACAATATCTTCTTTTCTTAAAATGTTGTGACAACTTGTGCTTATTAATTTCAGGGCATTTTGGTTATGTTGAGTTCCCCATACCTATTTATCATCCCTCCCACATTAGTGAGCTGAAGAACATTTTGACCCTGCTTTGTTTAAGGTGCCTGAGAGTAAAGAAGGGAAAGGTATTTATAGCTTTGTATAGAGTTAACTTTTTTTTTATTCTAGGTCCTCTGTGCACGTGCTAAAATATTGTATAAAATTTTGATCAATATATATTTCATTTACAATGATATGAAATGGAAATATAGTGTTGTCATATTGTTATTGGTAATTTTTGTTAATTTGGTTTTGTCATGCGATGATTGGATGCCTATTTATTTGCGGCAAAAGCACTAGTTTTATTGAATATGCACAGTTACCAAAGTTTGTTGGCGAAATAATCAACAAAATGTGAATGAATTGAGCCTTTGATATAGGAATTATTGCAAAAGCACCACATGTCTTAGGAGGTTATTACCAAACTTAGACATTGCCACATATGTGGAAGATGATGAAGGGTCATGATATTAAAGAAAACTGACGACAGATGATCTAAGCTTTAAAAAGTATCTTTTGAAAGAAACTTTGCTGGCAATTTAGAGGAAGTTTTGCTTCTCCATTTCGTTTGTTTGTGCTCAATTTTTATATCCAATCTTATGTATTTCTATGATTAAATTATAGTTTTTGTAATCTGCCCCCTCTTATCCACTGAATTATTTGTTCTTCAAACTTGGTTAGGGCACGAGATATTCGTAATTAGGCTAACGTTATGTTTTTCGTTCTCTTGGTTTGAGAATATACACAACCCATTCTGATTTTGAGAGAAAAGGCATCTTGCTTCAAATGTTTACTAGATATTTTGATAGGACTCTCCCTAGAAATTAGGAAACACATAGATTTTATTGCAAGAACATCAAACATTCAACACAAATTCGAGATAAGCACTTACAATTCGAGAGGTAGGAGATCTCTCCCAATCCTACAATTAGAGAGGTAGGAAATCTCCCCTAAATCCTAAACCTAAAACTCACAAAAATAATCTCAAGCATCATTGACCCTAAACCTATTTGGGTCTATTTATACTAAACAATTACCATTAAGTTAATAAAAGAATAAATTGCCTCTTATACACCGGCGTAATAGATTCTTCCACCCTCATAAGCAAAGGATACTTTGCCTCTTATAACCATTTGAAGCAAGATGCATTTTCTCTCAAAATCTGAATTCGTTGTGTATATTTGGAAATAGTTTATTCTTGATTGAGGGAGAAGAGAAGAAAACCCGATGCTCAGCATTTTCAAAAAAAAAAAAAAAAAATGGGATGAGTGAAGCAGTCAAGTGCTTTGCTATTTGGACTCTTTTATGGATTAACATTATAGTTGTCAGGCTAAGCTGGATAATTTCCTTGCATTTATTGTACTTCACTATATTTAAATGCAAACTTTTAAAGCAAAGAACATGGTGGCAAATGCCATTACATTTTTGTTAATTTCTTTTATTCATATTATATTTTAGTGGCAATAACATACATAGCAATCAAAACTTTACTATTTACCAAACTAGCACTCTCTTCATTAATTATTTAAATTCTCACTGAGATACCAAAATTCACAATATAACCCCAACCTGTATTTTTTAATTTTATAAAATTTCCAATGATTTGATCGGGGCACTGGTAAATTTACCGGTTTGTTAGTTCAAAAAATGATTTGATGCTAGTTTGGTAAATAGCATTGTTTCGAATGTGCATGTAGTTACTCATATATTTTTTTGAATGCTATAAAAATAATAATAATAAAAAGTTTTTTTTTTTTTTGAAATGCTACAATATTTTGCTTGCATATGCAAATTCAATGTAGGTATACACATGCTGAAGGTAGATATTTAGACTTCAATTATATACCTCATATCCTACTCCGGTGGCTGATTTACTTCAAGTGGATAAGCACGTTTTGCTATTTGAAATTTTTAGTCTTTCCACTTCAAATAATTGTTTTACTCTGAAGCGCATGATTTAGCGGGCCTTCACTCTACAGTTAGATTTCCCTATTATTACCCAAGAGGTTGTGGGATCAATATATGGAAATAGTTTTTCAGCTAGGCAGAAGTAAAGATTGTGTTCATCAAAATTTCTCCTCGTTGGTGCTACATTGGCACGTGCCTTATAAATATATATTTTCAGGATATTGTATTTTCATAGATTTTGTATTCTTGTAGTGCCTTATATTTATATTTAGGGCAGTCTTTCATTGTGATTGCTTTTATGATCATGATTTCTATTTTGAGCGATATGCTTTGATTTTGCCAGGTAACATTTTGGAATACATTTATCCCTTATAATCCACCTGTCAAAATATATGGACCACTTTTCTTATTTTTAGGTTTCTTTAAAGGGTTATTTACGTACATACCACATAGCTCTTATGTATTTACAGATATAACACCTAAACTTTTATATTTTCATGAAAACACTAAAGTTTTTAATATCGCATAAAAAATACCACTGTTACGTAGGTTTTAAAAATGAAATGCATTTTTTTTCATGCACATTTTTATGACACTAACGTGCTATAAATGTAAATATTAAAATTTAGGCATTAGTTATTTAAATGCATAATAATTGTGTGGTATGTATGTAATTTTTTCTTCTTTAAAATTCACAGCTCTGCTGTGTTTTTCTCTGTCATCTAAGTTGTGACCAAATTTGACAAAAAATTGAAATTCTACAGGCAAAATATTTGATTCTTTGACTTTTCAATTTCCATTTCCTCATGCAAATGACAATTATTGAAATGTTAATTACTCCGTTGCTGTGCAAACTATTTTTGTCATGCATGCATCTCCAACACAAAAAACGGAAAAAAGAAAAGGTAGTTAATTGGCGGAATAAAAAAGGTTTGTCAACTGGTAGAGACTTTCATTGGTATTTTTGGGTAATTTGCCATGTAGGAAAAAAATGGTTTTGTAGCGGCCTCTTAGTTTTGCTTGCTTTGAGATTGTTCACAACTTCAAATGCATGGTTACATCAATCTACTTAGGGTTTTTTGTTGAAATCTGTGTAGATTAAGGGTTCAGAGAGAGGGATGGATGGGGTTGGTTTCCTTATATATGTACCCTATTTGTGAATGATGACATTAACTCTCTTTTCATCCTAAGGCCTGTTTTCAACATGGTATCAGAGATCTGAACCTAAACTCTAGCTTCCCAACCGCCATAACCTCTCTAATCCCTACGACAGCTTGTGGGCCAGGCAGAAAACTCCTCTGTCCAACGACCAGTTCTTCCTTGCGGGGGTAGTCCCTTCTCCTAAACTTCTCCCTGTAGCCTGATTTCCCTATTGCATGAATTCCTTTGTCGGAATTCCTCCTTGCTACAGGCCCTCCACTGGAATTCCTCCTTGCAACCAGAATTCCCTACTGCAGGCCCCTCCTTCTTGGAATCCATTTTTGTATATACCTTCCTTTACTGAGATTCCTGCCTATAGCAGCCGCAACAACAACATTTACCTTCCATTGCCAGTTGCCAGAATTCTTGCCTAAAGAAGTAGCAACAACAACAACAATCACCAGATATGAACATATCAACAATAGTGGTGTTAAACAACCCAACAACAACAATAATGGTGGCAAGTAGCAATATCAATAATGACACCAAGTAGCAGTAGCGACAATAAACAATAATAGCATCGACACTAAGGAGTAATAGCATCAACAACTAGCAATTCCTCTTTCTTTAACAAGCAACGATCCTAAAGGCACATACAATTCCTGATTGAGTACGGGATGAAGGTATCCACGAGATGGAGACACCCATTTCTACTCTGAGATTAATTCTGGATTAGTGATCGAGAATTCTTCCCAAACAACTTCTGAACTGTCTAACTTTATCATAAATCATAAACTCAATCGCCATAAATTCCTTCAATTGTCCCAATCCATGTTTATGTACATTTGTGCTAAAGGAAAAGATGAACATCTCAGTGGAGAAGACACAATTCTGAGATCACTAATCCCAACCACCGCACATAGAAGGTTCATGATCAGACGGTCATGTCATGGCTATTCAATTCAATGATCAATTAAATTGGTGAAATTTCT